CCTGTAGCCCCAGCTGTCTTGGAACTCTCTATGTAGACCAGGCTGGCCTTGAACTCACAGAGATCTGCCTGTTTCTGCCTCCCAAGTGCTGGGATCAAAGGCGTGCACCACCACGCCTGACTGCTTCCATTTTTCAAATACTGAGATTACAGGCAGGTGCCACCATGTCTGGGCTCAGACAAAAAGTTTTAAAGAGATAGCACAAGAAAGGCAAGCAGACCGACCTGCAGATTTGACAGATCAAAAAGCAGGAGAAAGCAATAAGGACTCTAGAACACAGAGGCTGTGGGGCCCCAGGGTTACATCTCTGCAGCTCACCCGATCCCTTCCTCCAGTGGCCAGGATGCCTCCATCAGGGCTGAAGCTGCAGCAGCACACAGGGCCATCATGTCCCAGGAGCTCGGCATCACAGGGCAAGTCTTCTGCCGTATGTGGCTGTGTCAGCAGCTGCCTGGGCCACAGCCGCACTATGAAATCCTCTGCATTGGAAACAGAAAGAGAACTGCTCCCTGAAAGAGGAAGCAAACCTGGCTTTGGAGTCCAGAGACAAAGGCAATCACAGGAATTGAGAGTGACCTCCAAAGAAAGGCACAGCTACAGGGAAGGAAGGTGGTGTCCCCAGAGTGTGCAGGGACCCTGGGCAAGGGGCAGTCACCACATGAGCACAGAGCCCAGGAATGCCCAGTACCACAGCTCCAGCTTGGCAGAGCTCAGGTCTGGAATGTGGTTCCTGATGTCTCTAACCTCCTACACATTTGTGTGGCAGCTGCTCCAGGCCCTGTTCTCAATGTCACTTTCACCTCACCATCTGTGAGGATCAAACCTCCCACTAAAGAGGCCCAAGACCTTTCTCTCTTGCGAGACACAAGTGTACTCTCTCATTCTCTCTCCTTCAAAGGGAATATTTTCCACTAGATAAAACCTCAAACATTAGTGGGAAGTTAGAGGTTCCAGAATGAGGACTTAGAAACAAGAAACAGTCTAGAATAATTATGGAAGATGAATACATTCAAAAGCACTTTGAAAGCTGTAAATAAAAATTGTATGTGTATAGATGTTGGTAATATATGTACACATAGCATAAGTTGAAGGGCAACATCAGCATACTTGAAAGGAATGTTTCAGTAACACTGCCCACCCCTTGACAGTACCTGACGCAGAAGCCAGGAGTTCCTGGGAGGCAGCCAGTCCTAGCACAGGCTTCCAGTACCCTGACAGGAGCCACAGGGAATGGAGGGAGCCTTCCTTGAGTATCCAGCCCTGCAGGGATCCATCTTCTGCACCACTCACCAACACAGTGGGACTTAGCCAGGCCAGTGCGGACACTGCCACGTCTAGTACTTGACACTGAGCCCCTTGGGAACCTAGAACAGGGAAAAGTACACAAGAGGAAGGCATTTGGGAAAAAGATGAAGCAGCAGGCACATTCTTTCCAAAGGTGCAAACCCATCCGCTCCCCCTTTGGTACCTGAAGAGATTTTGTAGATCCTAATGCCATCTGCTCGGTACCCAACAGCTACCCTGCTACCATCTGGGCTGAGGGCCACAGAGAGAGCAGGAGAAAGAGGAAGGGAGCCCAGGCAACCCTGAGGCCGGCCAAGAGATCCTGACCATAACTGAACCTAGGACACCAGAAAAGAGTTTAAGATACCTGCCTCTACCATCTGGTCCCACCCTTCATTAAGGTCTGCCTTCCAGAGATTTGAGACCTGCCCAACACACACCTGTGCCCTCACTAGCCAAACTCCTCCAGGGTCCTTAACAAAGGCTCTCAGCCTCACCCACGTATTCCCCACTTCTGCTACTCTGTCCTCAAACCCATCACAGGCCCTCAAGAACCTCACCTTGCCATCCTCTCCAGCTGTCAGGAACCGACTTCCAGCACGTAAAAAAAGCGTGGTGGCAACAAAGCCACAATGGGCAGGGAAGGCTGCCAGCCGTGCGCCCTCTTGCCAGGCCCACAGCTCCACTGTCCTGTCCATGCGGCCTACAGCCATAGCTCGCCCAGGTGCATTGAATGCCAAAGTACGGACAGAGGCTCCTGGGGCCCCTAGTTCCTACACACAGATGTAGAAATGGAAATAACAGAGCCTGTTCTTAGCACAAGCCCAAAGTGACACTGAATGCAGCTGTCATTTCCCACCTCCACTCCTGTCCTGTGTGTTCTTCCCAAGAGCTACACAGACCTCCTTACCTTGGTGACCCTGAGTCCATCTGCCTGGAAGAAGATCACGCTGCCAGCCCAGCTGCCTGTGGCTAATACTTGCCCCTCTGGGTGGAAAGCAATGCAGTTCAGGGGCTTGGGGCAGCTGTACTGGAAGGCTAGCTGCCCACGAACTGTGTCCCACAGCTAGGGGAGAAAGAGAAGGCAGGGAGGAAGCGGGATACCGAATACATGTGCCAAAGCTTCTTGGTCCAGAGCTCTGGGGTCACCTTACCTAGTCCCCTGCCTCAGGAGGGCTTCCCAAGGCTAGGCAGTCAGCAGCTCTGCTATGTTAAGCAACAAACTGGGTCTGACTCATAGTTTAGGACCACTTTATTGTTACCTTTAGGCATCCTCCCAAACACACAGTAGCCAGCAGGCGGTGGTCTGGGCTTAGGCAGCAGCCAGTGATTTGATACTCGTGGGCCTTGGTGTGGAGCACCCTACCCCAAAAGACAAAGTCAGGGCCCTGGAGCTACTTGGCAATAGGCCCCCTCCTCACTTCTCTCCCTCAGAGCTTCTGAAAGGAAAGGCTTTCACTCAGAGACAAGTGGAGGGACTCACTTACCGACAGCCATGCTGCAGGTCCCAGAGCTCCAGGAGCCCATTGAAGGCAGTAAGGAAAAGAGCATTGTCCGAAAGGAATGCAAAAGAGGAGACTCCGTCACAGTCACTCACCAGAGACTTCTCCTCCTGTGAAGGCCAGTGGGCAGGGTGAATCTCCCAACCCTCCACATCTGACCACTCTAGGTCCCAACCATAAAAAGGGCTTGAGCCTTTGGCTCTGCATTCCCAGCCCAAACACAGGTCCAACTGTGCTTCCTGATCCAAACACAGTCACCTTTTCTCCACTCCAAACCCCCAAACACAGATTTTCATGGGTCTGGGGAAAGGTGCTAACATGGATACAGGGATGGGAGGGTAATGTGGGTAGGAAGAAAACACTGTGGCTGTGTCTCTCTCCTCTCTCCAATTTGAAACCAGTTTCTACCGCTACCATCCCAGCCACTTCAGGTCCATTCTCCCTGACTCAAGGTAGAAGGCCCACCTTTCTCCACCCTGTGTCCTCCTCTATGTACATAGCTCACCTGGCTCCCAATTATGTCAACAGCTGAGTTCTGGTTCTTATGTCCCAACCAGGCTGAGGATGGGCAAAGGAAACGCACTCTGTTTCTCTTTTTTTCTCAACTCTGTGTTTCTTACAATACTAAGCAACATGCCTTAAGTGGAAGTTTCACAGCAAGTATCTGCTGCCTGACTTTGGTTTTGTTCTATACAGTCCAGGTTGACCTTGAACTTACTATACAGCCCAGGTTGGCTTTGAGCTCACAATCCTCCTGCGTGCTGGATTACAGCTGTGAATCACGACACCTAGCTGCTGAATGAGTCTTTGGCCAAGACCTTTTATCTAACACAGGCTGAATAAAGTTGCTGAATCAGCCATGGTACTAAAGGTATGTCTGGTTTGCTTAGGGCTTCATGGCAACGTGAGGGTTGTATGATGGTGCCTCTGTCCTGTCTCCAGCTTCATACCTGCCAGGTTCTCAAGTCCAGCAGGTAAATTGTCCCATTGGCAGTGCCCACAGCTGCTCTTCGCCCATTGGGCGAGAGGGCGACGGCAGTTGGGGTTGAGGAAATTGACAGAGACAGGCTGTAGCTGGAGAAAAAACACAGTGGGAAGAGAGGAAATGAGGGAAAGAAAGCCAAGGCCTCTACATCTGCGTCTCTGTGCCTGGACCCCATCATCCTGGTCATTCTAGTCTGCTTGCTCTTCTTATCTGGTTTCATCCCCATCTCCCTGGTCATTCTAGTCTGCTCACTCTTTTGTTCTGGTTTCATCCCCATCTCCCTGGTCATTCTAGTCTGCTCGCTCTTTTGTTCTGGTTTCATCCCCATCTCCCTGGTCATTCTAGTCTGCTCGCTCTTTTGTTCTGGTTTCAGAAAGTGCCGTTGCTCTCTGAAAGGCTTATCGGAGCTGGTCAGGTGTCTCACCTTTGCTGAGCCCCCAAGGTCTGGGGTTTATTAATCCATCGCAGTGTGTGCTGGAGATGCCATCGCCGGGTGAGCATGGGGGCCTGGCAGCAAATAGGTGACTCTATGGGCTGGTTGGCTGCCTGCTGGAGCAGGAGTTGAGGGTACTGACTGAGGAATGAAGCCTGCTGCCTCAGGAAGGTATGGAATACAGCAACATCTGCCTCGGGGAGCATTTGGTTCTCTTCAGGCTTTGACGAAGCTATTTAAAAAAAAGAGCACTCCCGTGATGACATAGTAGGAAGGAAGCTTGCTGCACAAGCACAAGGACCTGAGTTCAGATCCCCAACACCCACATACAAAGGCAGGTGTGGTTACATGCCATGAGCCTTCTAGTGTTGGGAAGGAGTAAAGACTAGAGATCATTGGATCTTGCTGACCACTAGCCTAACTGAAAAACGGTGAGTTCCAAGTTCAGTGAGAGACCTTGTCTGAAGGGAATAAGGTGGAGAGGAACAGAGGATAGTCAACCTCTCCTCTGGTCTCTGTGGGTGACTGCACACACACACAGACACACACACACACACACACACACACGGAGTGAGGGGTGGTCATAAAAAGCAGAGTCTTGGGGAAGAGTCTAAGGCAGACAAGACCACTGGGTTTTAGTATGACTGGGAAACCCACTAGGGCAGGAGACCACGTGGAGCAGCGTGGTGCAGAACCTAAGGAGGGCTGGACGGGATTGGGCCTCAGAAAGGACCTCAAGTATCAGGATTGGCCTAGGAACCACTCGTAGCAGTGTAGTGCAGGACCAGAAGTAGGCAGAAAGGTGAAGTAGATTTTCAGTGAACTGAAAGGAAGTTCCTCAAAAGAAAGAGAAGACTGTTTATGTAAGATTGCCTAGAAAGGAAACTCACGGAAGGAGGAGAGAGATGGCTTCTTTTCAGGTCTTACTGTGTGTAAGCCTGTTCTGGTGTCCTGTCTGGAACAAAGCAAAGAGCCCTGGAATGTGAAGAGAGGGGAGACTGCAGCCAATCAGATGCACATGGCTTGATCTGCATCCATGGCTGTGCTGTCTCTGTCCCTATGGCTGTGTAGTACAAAGTGAAATTAGAACTCAACTCTTAGAAAGACAGCAGACAGTTTATAATGCAGAGAAACCCTACAATTGTGAAGAATGTGACAAGTCCTTTCACCAGGCCTCAAATCTTAGAAGTCATAAAAATATTCATACTGGAGAGAAACCCTACAAATGTGAAGAATGTAATAGATCCTTTACTGCGAGCTCAACACTTAAAAATTACAGAATTTACACTGGAGAAAAACTCTACAGACATGAAGAATGTGACAAGTCCTTTACCCAGGTCTCACATCTCAGAAGTCATAAAAGTATTCATATTGGAGAGAAACTCTACAAATATGAAGAATGTGACTAGTTATTTAGTGTGAGCTTAACACTTAGGAAACATTATAGGATTTATACTGTTGAAAAACCCTACAGATGTGAAGAAAGTGACAAGCCCTTTACCCAAGCCTCAAATCTTAGAAGTCATAAAAGTATTCATACTGGAGAGAAACCCTACAAATGTGACGAATGTGACAAGTGCTTTACTCAAATGTTGTGTCTTAGAAAACACAGAGCAATGCATGCTGGAGAGACACCCTACAAATGTAAAGAATGTGACAAGTCCTAGCCGGGCCTGGTGGCGCATGCCTTTAATCCTAGCACTTGGGAGGCAGAGGCAGGTGGATCTCTGTGAGTTCGAGGCCAGCCTGGTCTACATAGTAAGTTCCAGGCCAGCTGGGGCTACAGGGAGACCCTGTCTCAAAAAGACCAAAGGAAAAAAAGGAAGGAAGGAAGGAAGGAAGGAAGGAAGGAAGGAAGGAAGGAAGGAGACAAGTCCTTTACTGCATGCTCAACACTTAAGATTCGTTACAGAGTTCATACTGGAGAGAAACCCTACAAATGAAAAGGGGGTTAGAGTCCTTTACTCATATTTCAACTCTTAGAGAACATCAAAGAATACATAATAAAGGGAGACACTACAAATATAAGTGATTTGGCAATTCCTTTAACCATATGGTAAAGTTACCAAAAATTTATACAGCAGAGGCAATTTACAACTGCACAGAATATGGAAATCCTTTACTCTGGGCTCAATCCTTAGAAAACAAAACAGAATCCATACTAAAGGGATATGTTTCGAAGTAAGGAGAATGTTGAAACATTTATATTTGTGTATTATGAAACTTCACAGTATACTGAAGAAAAATTTAGAATTAAATACAAACTGGCAAAATGTGTAATAAAACTTTATTTCTACATCAATATAAAACAATTCATAAGGGGGAGAAATGAGAAACATAAAGAATGTGAGAAAACCTTTACTTTTCTACCCAATCATGTTGAATATCACAGAATCCTTATTGTAGACAAAACCTACAGCTAAAAAAAAAAAAAAATCAGCCACTGTTTACAAATAGCTCCGGTCTGAGGAAACATCTCATTATTTACTATCAAAGAATACACAGTGTGAATAAAGCATGTAAGTATTAAGGACTTGCCACAATCAAAAGAATGTTTAGATGTTTTCAGTACTACTTAACTTGGTAAAAACGACATTGGAGAAAATTTAAAATTTTACAAGATTTGTGACTTTAACATTGTACTATCCTATTATATTTTAAGCTAGGTTTTTGAAAATGTAATATAATGAAAAAATTGAAGACCTTGTAGTCCCAGCCAGAGTATTATCATACAATAAAATAAAAGCTATTATGTTAGATATTATTATAAATTATTATATTTACACAAAATCAATATAGATATATGTGTAGATAGAATCATATCTGCAGGAAACTTAGTTGTATTCCCAGTACTATATCTTTCTGAGGCCCGTACAGTATTTCTTAGTTTAATATGGAAATTAATTCAATCTGTCTTACTTTCAAAGGGTTATCTGACAATTTGTTCCAATAGTTGCTGCATGAGAGCTGATAGAGTCCACAGTACATTATCAAGGCATCATTAATATTTGTTGTACTATGAACAAATAATGCCTGAGGCAAAATTCATAAATGAGGTCAAACGGTTGATTTGCTTTTTTGTTGAGTAGCACTAAGTACGTGTAAAGTACGTGTACTTCCGGCTAAGTCAAAACAGCCAATCCTGAATATTTGAAATGAATCATACTTTCAGTTGATCACTGAGATGAATAATGGCATGTCCACTGAATTACTAATAAATATTTTAGTAGATATTTTTGAATGCTGTTAATACAATTTCTGTGTGAAAACTAAATGAAGACAGAGAGATGAGAAATATTATCTTTAAAAAGTTATAAGTACCCGACTACTATCCTCAGGCCTCTTGGGGTAAGTCTATAGCGCAGCTCTCCGCGCCGGGACTCCCTAAGCGACATTCACCCTTCCATCCC